CACTAACATTGAGACAATAAGAGATGACATGATTAATAAGAAAAGTGGATTAATGTGATTGATATTGAATTGATAAAGTAAGAATAAAGTAAGAATGCTTTAGATCCACACAAACTTTATCAAATTCGGTATAATCTTAGTGGGATATTCCAAAAAGGTAAACTGGAACAATATTAACGGGATGAACTTTAAAAACAAATCAATCAAGACATTTTGATCTGCTATAACAGTTATTTTTTTAAAAATAAATAAGGACAATTGATAAATTTTGTAAATATTCAAATATTCAAAGTATAAAAAATAATGTAATAAGAATACAAAAAAATAGTATAAATGCAAAAAGAGAACATTTCATTTCATTTTCGTTTACCCCAGTGCCGCAAAGGCTCCCAACCTAGGTGAGGTAAGGGGGTCAGATGTACGCAGTCTTACCCCTGTATTAAAGCAAAAAGATAAACAATAAAAAATGTTAAAGTAAATAAATTAGAATTAGTAAAATGAAAAATATAGTGAAAATGTGATAAATATAAAATAAAAAATGTAAAAACCTTTTAAAGATATGTAAAATATACAAATAATTTTAAAAATGCAAGTTAGTAACTTTGACACTAAATTTTCACAATTTTTATCAAGATTTCTTTGAATTTTTACAATTTCTAGAGTTTTTTTAATATTAAAAACCTACCATTACATGTCAAAAGCTGATTGAATAGCTAAATAGATCAATTATTAGTATAAGGGTCTATTTGACCATTTTCCCTTGTAATAATGAAATTTACAAAGAAAAATGGGAAAACTGTCAAATTAGTCCCTGTACTTTATCGAAAAAGTCAATTGAGTCCCCGTACTTCAAAATGAATCAATTCGGTCTCCCAAGTATCAAAATACAACCAATTAAGCTGTTTTAGGGGTCACTAGCCGGTAACCAGGTTACCGGCACATGCGGATGTCTACGTGGCCTTTTTCACTGTTTTCTGTTTTTTTTTTTCCTTTTTCCTTCTCTGTTTCTTTCTTTCTTCCCTTTTTTTTCTCGTTTCTCTCTTAAACTATTCGGCTTCTTTTATCTATTTGAGGCTTGGTAATTGGCGGCCAAAGTGAAGCAGATTCTTGCCGAACCTATCCAGTCAGCGACTTGACAGACAAAATTACCAAAGCTCTAGCCGGCGAGTGCGCAAAGCTAAAGTCCGAGATAGAGAAGCTTGCAGCGGTTCTCTGGCAAGCTGAACGACAGAGTTACAGACACGGCGGATCAATGACGGCAACACCAGGTTCTGGGCAAGGGTTAAAGCGAAAAATTTACGATCTGAAGTTCTTGATAATTCGAAAATGAAGCAACTTCATCCATTTGTGACTATTTGACTTCCCAGAGATTTATTGGAAGGGGGAAGAAATCTCTCAAGAGATCTGTTTGTCAGGGCCGTCGAAGAGAAGACGTATATTGTGAGAAGGAAGGAAGCTCCATATAAACAAGCACCTACCAACACTAGTCATGGAAAATCAAAATAAATGAGTGTGGAGCTGCGGGCTTGAAGGGAGACAAAGGAGTGCGGACTCCATCGGAGAAAGAAGAAAGAGAACGGAAGAAGAAAGAGAACAAAAGTAAAAAGAAAATAAAAATTATGAAAAAATTGGGACACAGTAAAACAAGGGACAGCTGGAGACCCACGTAGGCTGGTGACCGGTTTACCGTCTGCTCACCTGCAAAATAGCTTATTGACCATTTTCAGCACTTCGAGGACTTAATTGATTCAATCTAAAGTATGAGGACTCAATTGACTTTTTCGTAAAAGTACAAGCACTACAGTTTTCCCAAGAAAAATTAAAGAGTAAATTTGTCATGTGATTTTTGCTTCCCCTTTTGGTAATTAACATAGAGTACATTTAAATAAATAAAAAAATTAGGTAATCGGGGCTAACTATTAGTGGCAATATCGATCATTGAGGCACCATCTTATTAGTGTTCTAATCATTGATTTATTTGATTAAAATAAAGGGAAATAATTTTAAATAATACCAACTATCACTCATAAATCAATAATAATAATATATAGTTTGAAAATGATTTCTAATAATACCAACTATTTGAATATAGAACAAAAATAATATAGAGCCATTTTTCAATAAGAAATTCAGTCACTTAAGGCATCAAATAAATGATATTTGGAAATACAATCACTTATTTGATATTTTGATAATAGTTTTTGATGAGTTAAACGACTAATTTTTTTTTGAAAAATGGCTCTATATCACTTTTGATAAATATTCAAATAGTTGATATTATTAAAGTTAATCTCGAAGTACGTACTATTCTTGGTTTACAGAAGATAGTTTGTATTATTTAAAATGATTTTCCCTAAAATATGCAATACTCTGTTTACATAGCAAACAAAATATAAAGTGAAGAGAATACCACTTGCTAGGACTCTAAGGTAGCTAGCACTCCATGGCTTATTATGTGAAATTTTTAACTTAACCATTCACTTTTTTCACTCACTGGAAAGCACCCATAAGGTGGCAATTTTACGAATCCAAACAAGGGGTTTTTCTTTCTAAAAAATAACAAAATGTCATGTCATTAATATTAGTTATTGATGAATAACATGAAATGTGACAACGATTAATGGTTCCTGATTACACATATACTTTAATGATTAGATGGAGTCTCATGTATGAACCTTCATGGCTTCATATATTATAGGTGTGTGTAGGAAAGGGTTTTATGAGTATCCCTCTCACAATCAGAATACATTTTGAATGGAGAACCATCTATTCTTCACCTTACATATCAAATTAATGGCCAATATTGATAAAGTGAAATTTCTATAATTATTTACAAATAATTGTAAAAAAGTATGCATTTGAATCTAAAATAATTACATCAATGACTCTTTTATATTTTTAGCTATTGACAAAAAACTATAAAAATTTGAGATAAAAAAAATCTCCAAATAAGTTCTTATTCTAACAGAAGCTCCCATATAAACCCTTCCCTGTGTGTGTGTATAAACACACATACACACACACACACATATATGTACACACACATATACATATATATAGAGTCCCTTTCATGTCTGGTAGTCTGGTTCTTTACAATCCAGAAGAAATAAAAATTAGAGAGTAACTTTAATTTTCCCTTTTTTCTATTTTTATTGTTCTGAATTTTCATTTATCTCTTTAATTTCTCCTTTTTCTTTTAGTCTCCCTTTCACGCAATATCTTTCTCCTTTTAATTGTTCAGCAGTTTTATTTTCCTCTCCTACTCAGATGAATGAGTCAAGTATATGGCTACTTGGTTCAAAGATTGTGTTTTGAGACTCTGGGGAGATAAAGTACTACCTCCGTCCTATATTGGATGTCTTGTTTAGTTTGGTTCAAGTATTAATGAAGTGGTTGAAAAGTAAAAGTTGTAGTTGAGGTTTGAGTAGAATAAAGTGAAATTATATGGACCACATATTTTTGCCAAAAAGGAAACAGAACATTCATTTTGGGACAATCCAAAAAGCAAAGCAAGACGACCAAAAATCAAAATAGGCCAGAGAGAGTAGATCCTAAAGGCATTCTTATAAGTTCATAATTTAGGCATGTCTTTTATTCCAGGTTATTAGTCATTAATCCTTACAAAATATCAAAAAAGTGATCATCTAGATCAGATAAAAAGGATTTACAAAACACTAGCTGACAAAACATTGCTCAAAGAAAACAAAAAAAGTGATCCGTGTTCTCAAAGGAGAGGGAAAAGAGTTGCTGCCAAAACTTGCTCAAAGGAAACAAAAAAAAGTGATTCTGTGTGCTCTGGACAAAGGTCCGAAAAGGGGGAAAAGAGGTATGCTATGAGAGGGAAAAAGAATGAAAGAAAAGAAGCAAGCGTAAACGAAAAGAGGCACAATGGTGTAAGGGGAGGGGAAGTAAGGAAAAGGAAGCCCGGAGAGAGAAGACATCAGACTCAAAACAATTCAATCCACTCCCAATTACTTTTTTAAATGAATCGTTCATTAGATCCAATGGACTGTTCATTTCTTCTGGATATTAAGCCTCTAGACTATTGAACATGAAGTTTTCTCCATATACATATACATATATATAAGGTCCGGTTCCAATAGAAAGTGATCTTCCATACAAAGTGAGAATGAGTACACTTTTAAGCATTTGAGGTGCACTATTGCATTCGGATAATTTTCACTATCCACTTTTAGTTATATACGGTACACTATTAATATTGCATTCATTTCTGTAATGAAGAAAAACTTCGATTTTTACGAAAATGTCACTGCGTTTTTCATCCACTTTTATGCAGTTTTAACATATTTAGAGCCAATAGATAATGATTCGATGTTCCAGATTTATTCTTACTTTTCATAGGAAGAACCTTTTTTATTTGATCAAAAACTCTCTCTTTATATAGGGATGAGTTCAAATAAAAAGTGCACTTCACATGAAAAGTAAGAATAGATCAGATGTATCCAGTTTATGATCAAATGACTCTAAATATGTCAACAATGCATTAAAAATGATCAAAAGCGTGGTGGCATATTCGTAATTACGTCAAAAATTTCCGTCATTTCTAAAAGTGTGCATCGTTTGAAGCTAAAAGTGCACCGTGCATAACAATTAGTGCAATCGTTGCACTTTGCACGGGAACATCACTTTTTACTGGAACCGCACCCTATATATGCACGCGCACACATACATATACACACGCCATGCATTATATATGTGTACGCGTGTGTGTATTTATGTATGTGTACACACGCGAGTGTGTAAAAGATACTACAGTAAAAATACGTGAAAAAGGGAGGTGTTGCCTCAAACACGCTTAACCCGCCCAGATCCAGCATGCATACTGTTTTTACAGAAGCTTAAACAATTTATTTTATCCATAAAATGGTTGTATTCATGGGATCTGGCTGTGAGGAGATCCCTTAGTTATGCAGGCAAAATCCCCCTTTTGGCACATCTTTTACGATTATATTTGCTAGTAAAATTCAAACTAAGTTTACCTCACACCCAGCCAAGCAATCAATAGCTTTCACTTCTGACATAATTGAACTGATGCTTTTTGGATTTCTGTTCTCACATAATGCTCGCCACATTACCATTGGTTCCCAACTTAATCCAACTGTCTGCTCAAGGACACCTGTAACAATCACAGGTTCACCCCTACCCCAATGACTCCTAAACTGGTGAAACTCTTCCGCGTCCATAGCATCCCTACCAGTTGGGCAATACAAGTAGTTGTCATTCGAACCTTCTCTGTCTGCTGCTCTGCGCAACTTCTCAGGGTTAGTTTTATTAATGGCAGTTGTCTGCAAGACACGCCTTCCGCATTTACTCAAAGCACTTTTTGCTTTTGCTTCCAAATTGAAGATCCAATCTGTTGGAAGGAGACGCTTGAGCTCCAACACACCACTTCCACATCCACCCATTTCTTTAGGAGCACAGCTTATATTGCGATCACCTTTGACAGCCCATTCAGTCATTGGTGTTTCATTATAATTATCTAACAATGACTTCTCTACATCATTAGTAGCTTCTGGTTGTGGCTCACCACCGTGCATATATTCATATCCTTTATCTTTATATTTGACAATTTCTCTTACAGGACACCCTGGAAACTTCCCATTTCGAATTTCATCACAACAACGCAGACATAGCTCAAAGGAACAGCCCGGGCAGCATCGATGAAGATCCACTATTGAAGTTGAACACTGATTACTGATAAAGGAAAAAAATATTATTTAAAATAGAATTTATTATCATTTTCACAAAACAAAACAAAACAAAACAAAACAAAACAAAACAAAACAAAACAAAACAAAACAAAACAAAACAAAACAAAACAAAACAAAAACTCACCAGTACACTCTCTCGTCTTTGTAAAATGTTGACTGTTTGACCTCAATTAGAGATGGATGGACACCTTGGATAAGAGATTCTATCTCTATCTCCAGATCCTGTTCTCTACGGATTTGTACGAGGAAGGGAAGAAGTTTATCAACCAAATAGCAGAGATGTTGGAGCTTTTCAGCACCAGTGAGACTTCTTCTTGATGTCTGTATGTACAGTACAAATAGTCAGAAGACATATAAGAAAAGTCAATTTAATCTGATCAAAGGAAGACTTGTACCCTGATGAAGCCACTCAAGTGTAAACAGTTGTTACAATTGCAATTTCCACGACAAAAAGGGCAAATCTCTGCAATGTCTTCCTCTTCCAGTCCAGGATACCTTTTTTTGGTAGGGTTAAGAGAAATGATTAGATAACATTAAATGTGATACTACCTCTGCCCTAAAAATGACTTATTTATTAATTCAACACAGTGATACTGAACTAAGTTAAACCAACCTAAGTTTTTAAGGTATGACTAGTGTCATAAAACTTGTACCTTACCGAAATTTAAACTTGTACCTTGGTCAAATATGACTATTTCTTAGGATAGAGGTAGCGCCTAAGGTTCAAAAAGGCATAAACAAGCCCTGAGGCGTGAGCCTCACCCGCAAAACAGAAATTATATATGTAGACATCCTAAATAATATCCATGACTAATTAGTGCACGTAATGATCTGCAACTGAATGTTCAATAAGGCTATTAAGGAATCAAACAAATTAACTTAGACTTTAAACGGCTTTCTTTGTTCTTTCCATTATTCTATCTGAAGAACTAAAAAGAAAGAGGAATGCAAGAGAAAAAGTAGGGAAAATATAAAGTGTCTAGTAGACTTTGGAATCTGAACTATGCTGAAAAGCTAACAGTAGACCTGCTTTTTAGAGCATAAAATATTAAATTTTTTAAATTCTGAAAAGAAGACCTTAGACTCTGGAGTCTGAAAAGTGCAGGAAGATGTTTAATTAACTAAGGGCAGCCCTAAAATATAATCATGGGCTAGGATCAGTTCAAAAAGAAAGGATTCTAACTTTTTAAAACATGGTACTACCTTCGTCCCTTTTATATTGGGACGGAAGAGGGTGACACGATTATTAAGAAAAATGGGTTTGTGTGGTTGATATTAATTGATAAAGTAAGAATAAAGTAAGACTGATTTAGAAATTAGAACCACACAAACTTTACCAAATATGGTATGAAACAATTTTACGGGGGCATCCCGATAAGGTAAAACGTGACAATATAAGGGGGACGGAGGGAGTACTATTTAATTACTTTTGAAGAACAATGTCAAAGAGAAAGAAAAGAGGGAATGCATATGGTTAGGAGTTCACCACTGCTTGATGCACCGAATGCAGTATAGATTTTGTTTGCACTTGCTGCATGCAATAACGACTCTTCTATCTCTCCTTTGACATTGATGGCACATTGCTGACAGTACAATCCTTCTTGCCTGATGATCAATCTGAAACAAGAGATTATTAGCTTTAAATATCACATAAACTTCTTATATAAAACTGAAGTTTATGGCACATAAAATGGGATTAACAAAATGGAAGATATAATTATTACCTTCTTGTCACGCTTTGATACTGTCAAACAAGATAAGGAAGACGATGAAGATGAAGAACTAGAGGAGAACTGCCTAGAATCTTTCTTTTTTCTTGTGTCACAAGCATTAGAATCATCCCTTTCAATGGCAACCACCTCATGTTGTAAACCACTATTACTAACCTGAGTTGTCTTTGTTATTGGGGCCAAATCTTCATCATAATCAACATCATCATCTTCATCATCCCACTCACCAACATAAAAATCATGATCAAGATTATATTTTCTGTATGATGCAGCAGCACGCTTTAATGACCTTCTGTTAGTAGGTGAACTTTCAAATTCATGAGTTTTCTGAGTTCTTTCAATAACAAATGATGGTCGCGGGGTTTTGATTCTTCCCCATTCCTCTTCACTTCCGTCCTCTGCCTCGTCCATCATAAATTTCATTTTCCTCTTTGAAGTGCTTCTCTTTTGATGCAACTGTGCATCTGACTTCGTACCATTCCCCAGCTCTTTTTGCTCTTCGTATCTTATTCTCTTTTCAGCAGGCTTCCTTCTTAACTGTTTCTTGCAGGGAGAAAACTCATGCTTCTGTGAGCTTATCTTATTATGAGCTTTATTATTATTATTATTATTATTATTATTATTATTATTATTATTATTATTATTATTATTATTATTATTATTATTATTATTATTATTATTTCGACTTAACACAGTCTTTCTTGATGAACATTCTGGATTGTACGCTTGTTCCACATCCTCCTCCTCCTCCTCCTCCTCACTTTGTTCCTCATAATAAGAAGGATCTGAATGAATGCTAGGAGATGATGAGGCACTTCTGCAGAATGAACCTTCACACTTGTTCATCACAGTGGCTATATTCACTAATTTTTTAATACTTCCCCGAGAACGTCTGTGCGTGGCTCTCACAACATTAGGCTCATAGTCATCTTCTTTAGAGTCTGGATCAATCCATCCTTTCCTAATATTCTTAGAAATGCCTGACACTTCCATAGTTTCCCCCTTCAATCTCCTGGAGTGTCTTCAGGAAAAAAAGATTATTAGCCAAACAGAATACCCATTATAGCTTACCAAAAAAAAGAGTAATGATAAAAAAAGAGTAATGATAAAAGCTTTAGTTCTCCATGGTCTAGAAACTGAGCATGAGTGCATGATAACCTACAAACTCCATACTCATTTAAGGCAATTCTAAATTTCTAAATAAATCTGGAACTGAATCAAAACACCAACCTTGATTTCAGAATTAGCCATGGATTTACTCTGAAATTGTATATCATTATTATCATTTCTTTGTAAAAAAAATGAAGACAACATATTTAGCAACATTGTATGAGACAATTATTATAATAAAAACCGTAACGTCTCATAGTGCAACTAGGGTCGCTAGTGACCTAAAAACAAGTAGCCATAAACAGTCATCATCATAATTATTATTACCCCAGTGCCACAAAGGCTCTCACCTATGGTGGGGTAAGGGGGGTCGGATATACGCAGCCTTACCCCTGTACTAAAGCACAAAGAGACCGTTTCCGGATGACCCATGGTGAAAATCGTGTCGAAAAATGCATGAACTGACTTTTGTTTCATAACAAAGAAGAGTATTCATAAACAGTGAAATCTGAAATTATGCACTAAGATAGAGGCTATCAAAAGTGCCTAAAACAACAAATAGAATGACATTACACCATTAGCATGAAGTAATCTATTTAAAAATACTATTTTTGGCAACATGGTGTGACAAGTACCAAAATAAAAACCGTAATTGTTGATTGCAGGGCCTGTCCTGTCTATTTCTAGTCCTTGGGGATGATCATCTATATTGGGCTTATTCTAGAAAACTGTAAAAAAACATTTCTCTTTAAACTAATACACATAATAAAAATATTTCAAAGAATTGCAATAATGTAAAGTCTTTCATAATTCCATATGTCAAATTTACAAAGTTTATAAATTTTAACCGAACACAATACATACCCAACAAAATTTACACTAAAAAAAAACTAGCAAGTCATAAGATAACAAAATTTAATAAATAATAAAAAAACAGTAATGATCATAGGGCACATGAATTCAACAGATATGATTCTATATAACAATTTAAAATACGTAACGAGTAAAATAGGTCATCGGTGACTGTTGTTAATGGGTTGCATCACCTGTGGAGAGAAGCCGTGTGCTATAAAGAGCCGTGAGGATATGGTTCTTCATCTATTAAAGCAAAGCTTAAAGCATTAAACCAAAATTGAAGCAATCAAATCAAAAAATTGGAATCATAATTTCTCCTCCGTCTTCTCGATCACTCGATCGTCTCACCGGAATTTCTCTCGGAAGTGGCGTCGCCCCGACCCCGCATGGTCCGTCGAAAATATAAATACAGACAGAAGCTCCCAACCAATCCTAAGACTGGTCCCACCTTTAAATTTCAATTTTTCGTTTGGGCCTAACTAATGGGCCTAAAATTCTTTTACAAGATTTTAGGCCTACGATTCTCTGAACCCCGCCTTTACTGCCCCCATGGGCCATGACAGCCCTTAGTTGGGCACACAATTACGGTAGCTAGTGCCTATTAGGATGTTTTTACTTGGACTGTAATTTGCTGGTCTGGTCTGGTCTGGTCTGAACTGGTCTGGTCTGATAAGGTCTGGTTTCTTTGTATTTTTATAAATATCCAAGTCTGGTCTGGTCTGATCTGGTCTGAACTGGTCTGGTCTGGTTTGGTCTGGTCTGGGACAAATTACAGTCCAAGTAAAAACATCCTTAGGCCGGTTCGTATACCGTGGTACCAGCCTACTATGAGCATCATGCTCTGAGGGTTAAAACACCAGTATACATGGATGAATATCTTTTTTTGTGTGTTTCAGTTGCAGGTGGTGTAACTTGTGTTTAAAGAAATGTAACTCACGTTAATAGAAAATGTAACTTGAGTCAAATTGAAATGTAAGTTGTCTAAAATGAAATATAAAAAACATTGATTCAATTTAAAAAATGAAAAATTGATCCTAATTACCCAATTACTTTTTGCAAATAATGAATATGTTTTATTTTTAATATTAAGGCTACAAAAATGATGGAGTTAAAAAAAATCATATTTTATCATTAGCAGGAGTTTATTTAGTGGTGTAAATCGCTTACATTAACATGTAGCTCACGTTTAAACAGATGAACTTCTTATAATCTCAAATGTAAACAAGGAGTTTAATTGTACAATTAATTTACTAATGTGTTTTGTTTTTAATATTAAGGTCATAAAAATGATTTAAATAAAAAAAGAATTACCAATTTTTTTGCCCAAAAAATCACTATTTTGCAAAAAAAAAAAGTGGTTTCGATAGCATGGATTTATTTTGTGATGTAACTCGTGTTATGAAAAATGTAACTCACATTAATGGAAAATTTAACTTAGGTGTATCTAAAATGTAACTTGTTGAGGCAAGTCCAAATATAATGGGCGCATAAAAAGGTGTAACTCACACACAAGAAGATCTAACTCGTGCATAAGAAGATGTAATTCCAAAAGAGACTATCAGATGTATACCTGTGCAGGGTATACCGGTGCCACGGTATAATTTGCGCAAGTAGGCTAGTAGCCTTAAAACGAAACTTTACTTCGTGCTTGGAGTGGATAATACAAATTACGGTTCGATTTTTATCGATTTTGATTTGTTTTTAATTTATTTGGTTTACTTGGACAAAAAATTTCTTGTCTTGTCTAAACTGGTCCGGTCTGGTAAATGTCCGGTCTCTGTGTATTTTATAACTTTTCACGTCTGGTCTGGTCTGGGACTGAAAATAGTCCAAGTAAAAACATCCATAGTACCAAATTAAAATCATTTGTGTTTCTGTTTGATTTTGATTCGGATTAGGGGTGGTTCGATTCAGTTCGATTTCAAGTTCAAATAACCAAAGTGAAAATGAGTTGGTTCAGTTTAGTTCGGTTTCATGAATTTATTGATTTTATTTTATTCATACATTCAAATTAAAATTTTAAAATCCATATTATAATTCAAGTAAACATATAAAATGTATATTGCAGACCATAAAGATTCAGATTAGATTAGATCAGAAAGATTTAGACTAGATCAGTAAGATTCAGATTTGATAAGAAAAGTTCAGACATGATTTATTACTTGTATTATAAGAAAAGTTCAGACATTATTTATTACTTATATTATTATTGTTGTTGTTATTGCTGCTGTTGTTGCTATGGTATTACTGTAGGTTACTTCCCTAGTATAAGTACTCTTATTGTTATTCCATAAATAGTTGAGTGACACTTTTCGTGATAAACTCTATCTAAACTATCTACTACATACAATGACAGAATTGAATAGTAAATGGAGAGATAAGGTCGCCTCTGGATAAGCACAACATAAGTTTGCGTGGGAATGCAAGACCTGACATACGTTGCATGGTCATGCAATGGCAATGTATATACCACATAATACGTTTGAGTGCATGAAAATGTGGGACCCGGGGATCATGCATGTAAAGATATATTTATTGAACAATATAAGAAATTTTGGGGCGGGTGAAGGTGACATATTGTAGAGCTCTTGCAAGGTGATTGTAGAGAGTAAGATCGTTAACCCGAGGTTCGTCGATGGCTCTACTTTTGGCCGAAGAATCAACAAGTGTAGCAATAGGTTTTCAAGAGCCCATGTCATCTCGTGAAAGCATTTCCTTAGCATAAGTGGTCTGGGATAAAAACAAACCGTCAGAATGCCAGGTAACATGTAACAGAGATCCCAAGGAAATGTATCAAAGGAACAAGGTCGGTCATAGCAAACTCAGAACTGAGAGTGGAGATGATGAAGTTCTGAAGGTCATCTGTGGTCCCTGTGGAGGCATTGAGGATGATATCGTCCACGTACCAGAACATATACTCAGCGGCCGAGTCACGCAAGTCAGTAAATAAGGAGTGATCTCACTTACTTTGTGTGAAAGTGATAACAAAGGAGGGAAAATGGTGGTTCCATGCTCGAGGGGCTTATTTGAACCCATATAATGACTTGAGGAGCCGACATACATAGGTAGGATGAGAAGAATCTTTGAATCCGGGGGATTGGTGCATGTAGATCGTTTCATTAAAAGTGACATGCAAAAATGCATATTTGACGTCAAGTTGATATAGAGGTCGAGAATGATGGAGATCCAAACTGAGAATTGTTTGTATAGTGGCAGGTTTGACCAATGGGATGGAAGTATCCTCCAAAATCAGTATCGGGTTGTTGAAAGCGAGTGCGTTGTTAAAAAAATCCACCAGACATGTTGATGTTTAAAAAGCCACATGAAACGAATAATATTGACATTAGATGGACGAGGAACCAACTCCCATGTAGTATTCTTAATAAGTGCTATAAATTCGCCATTCATTGTCGCTTTCCGGTTGGGTTCATGAAGGGCTGCGAGGGAAGAACTAGGTAGTGGTGACGACTGGGTAGTATTTTGGGTGGTGAGGAGATTAAATATGGGTTTTGTCTTTAAGATGCCTACACGGATCCAAGTGATCATGGGGTGGTGAGGGGTGCATTGGGTATTATGGGAGCGTGAGGTGAGGGTGAAGGAGGAGATAAATCGGAAGAGTAGAACGAATAGGGTGAATGGAGAGAGGACGAGGGTGTTGGACGCAGGAAGTATGGTATAATATGGATGACATGAATCGTCAAACATATTATAAGTGGATGGATTGAGATGTGTGGTGGTATGAAAGGGGTATCGGAATTCATCAAAAGTTACACGACGAGATATTATTTTGTTGGTGTTGGGGTCAAAACATTTGTGGCCTTTGTGATTGGAAAGGAAATCAAGAAACATGTGATGTGTTGAATGAGGTTGAAATTTGTGTATGATATTTGGTGGGACATGGGGGGAAACATAAACATAAAAAAAACTCGTAAGTTAGAGTAGCACGAGCGTTTATTACGGAGCATTTCGGTAGGTGACACATAGGATAAGGATGGTAAGAGAAGTATGTTGTAGATATAGGTGGCCATTTGTACGGCGTGAGGCCAGAAAATGGGGGGAATTGAATATAAGCATGAATCAATAAGGTGCGAGCAATATTATTAATGGAGCATATAGTATGTTTTGTCTTACCATTTTGAGAAATGTGTAAGGGCGAGAAAATCGAAAAGTGCATGCGATGAATGGCGTCATGGTAGTGGAATAAGGAATTATCAAATTCTTTTCTGTTGTTACATTGAAATATTTAAATGGGGCGCTCAAATTTGGTGTGTAAATAATGATGAAAGTGAACAAATGTGGATAGGGTTTGAGACTTCAGTTTAACAGGATAGACCCAAAGGAATTTAGTATAATCATCTAAAAGTAAAACACAATAATGGTGCTCAAGTGAACTAAAGATAGGGGAAGTCTAAATGTCAATATGTATTACGTCAAAGGAAAGGGGTGTGGTAGACGTAAAATATAATGATGAAATGGTAATTTATTATGTTTACCAAGTTGATAGGAAATACATTGAGTGGAACAAATTAAATTACAATGAATAACTTTATTTGTTCTAAGCTTGCTAAAAATGGGATCTCCCGGGTGACACAGTCGTTTATGCCAGGTGTCGCCAATCACAACATGGAGCGGAAGTGCTGATGGCGGTGATGAGGTGGCGGATGGACCCACGAGATTCAAATCGCTTGAGCTGTTACACCACATGATAGGTATTCTTGTGTGGAGATCCTTCACAGAAAAATCAAAGGGATCAAATTCAGCAGAGACACTGTTATCAGTGGTAAATTTGTAGATAAAAACTAAATTGTTCACATGGTTTGGGGTGTGTGAAACATGATATAGATTAAGAGCAGTCTGAGGTGGGGCAAAAGGTAAAGTTTCCATGACCCAAAATGGGAATGTAATGATTATTTTCGATACGGTCGTGGACCCATAATTCCTGCAGAGTGGATGAATTAAGATCCGACGTGCGAGTACCTAGAGTGGATGTTATATGAGAAGTAGCAACGGTGTCCCTGTATCAATTGTCACCCGGAGGGGTAAGAGTCCTAAGGGACACAGTGTGCATGACGGAAGCAATATTGTACATGATTGGCGGAATTAGCCAGATGCAGTCATGGACCCATAATCTCTGAGGAATTTGAGGAATGGGGTGTGAGGCCGGTGGGAACCAGGAAGTGTGGGGTATGGACACGGAGGAACCCCCAAGGTTGCTACATCCAATTAGACCATGGAGGTGGCTTCACCCGGGACCAAGCTCACAGTGTTGGGTAAAACTATCATGTAGGGATGAGGTGGTGCGAGACTGGCATGACGATGAGTGCGATTGGAGGAGCAACCATGTCTAGGACCCGGATTGTGGCTAGAGGGATCCGGGTAGTAGTTTTCATGGTGTGGCGACAATTACGAGGCCAAGACATTTGTCC